GCTATTTTGTTTTAATGTTAGTTAAATTTTTAGGCCAACCACAGGATCTATGTAGGTGGAAGTTTTTGCTCTTTTACATAGGAGTATATAAAATATGCAAAAAAAAAAAAAAAAAAAAAAAAAAAGATGTTTAGGCTTTTTAGGAGCTATCTGTTAGTGTCCATCTCCCTGAGGCTGAGAAAAGTTATTGCATATGTAATGACATGCCATGCAAGACAGTGGCCTAACTGGTCAAAATGGACCCCCAACGCAGTCTCCTGCCTCCTCCAGGCGTCTGTAGTTACCGAAATAGCTGTGGAATTGACACTGGCCTTTAGGGGGCAGGAGTCACCCCACTTGGTCAGTAAACTAGAATAAAGTTTGAAGAGATAATTAGCTATAAGGGTCCATTTCATCTTCTCCCGTTCTTTCTTCTGGAACTTTCTGCCTTGACAGAAGTTGCTGTGGCAGAGCTTGCTCCACATGGAGAGCGCTGTACATTCAGCTTGTCCTTCCAAATGAAGGAATCATTTGACCCAGTATACACCACCCTGCGGGCGTCTTATTGTGTATGTCCAATGTTCCTCCCTTTGGGGAACTTCCCCTAACGCACCCCACGTGGTACAGAGCTGCCAAGCACAGGACCGCATCCCTCTGACCGCAGGAGTGACTCAATCTTTATGAGTCAACTAGATCTCCTGAGAACACTGAAGCCATGAAGATGGAGGCGGAAGGCAGTAGGCACTAGATCACAGGATGCGCTTCCCATGGAGCAGAACTTCTTACTGTGTGGTGCCTGGCCTAGCAGCAACAGCGTCCGGGACTCTGCTAAAAATACAAAGCCTGGGACCCCATGCCACAGGTACTGGGTCAGGAACTGGGTCAGAAACTCTGGGGTTAGGCCCCCCAAAAGCTGTGTTCCAACAACTCCTCTAGGTGATTCTGTTGCCCATTAAATACTGCCCCAGGAAAGTAGACATTTCTACAAGCAAAATTCCTAGAACTTACGTGGATCTTCTTTCGTTGGTCTTGGCTGTTGAGATCCTGCTTAGAGTCTTTGGTCTCCCCAATATCCTTCTGGAAAGTCCCTTTTTGGTTTTGTTTTGGTTGAGTGAATCAGAGTTCCTTTCTGTGGCTTACACCTAAAGACCCCAGCTGATGGGCCTCTGAACCTAGTCTGGACATAGTCAGAGATCACCATAGGGACAAAGGACAAAGGACTCCTGGGCCCTTCACCTGTTACTCAGCAAAACCATGATTTGTGTTTTCTTCTGAGGCAGTCAGGGAGTTAATAGTGATTTTTGCTAAAAACTGTGACTCTTTCCTTGAGCCTACAAATGCCTAATGGATCATTGAAAGTAGAACAAAACTTGACCTTCCTTTTATAACACTCGGTCAAATCCTTCTCAGCTTTGCATATAGGTACAGTAGTCATTTAGGGACTGTCTGTCTAAACATTGGTAAAGCAAGATTTATTAGCCCTAAATTTACCTGGCCTATCTCTTTACCCTTCAAGAGTGAGGACACTGGAATAAGGTTTACAGGGACATTCAGCAAGGGAACTGAACTGTTTCTGAAGTCATGAGGTTCAACCTGAGCTACAAAACCAAGACTGAGATCATTGATGGGACTTGGGCCACTTCAGCAATTCTTTTCAGGCCAGACTTGAGCTCACTTTGTAGCCCAGGCTGGTCTCAAACTCACAACGATCCTCCTGCCTCAGCCTCCCGAGTGCTGGGATTACAGGCGTGCGCCACCATGCCCAGCTTTTCAGCGATCCTTAAAAACGGGCTTTCTGCTTTTGTGAGTTCACCAGTCTGAGCCCCTCCATCTGAGTGTGCCCCCTCATCAGCCACTCATGCTGGAGTACTTTCCCTGTTTGTTCTCACTTTCCCAGTTAGGGTCTGGTTTGATTTTTTGGCAGAGCTGTGTTCCCCTTTATTTTCTCTTACTTTCAATCTGAACTTTTCCCTGCAAATGTGTGCTTTAGTTTTAATTTCCACTTTCACTGAAGCAAGGGTCAGTGCTGCTAGTGGTGACAATTCCTTCTAATTCATGGTCACACAGATGCCCCTTGACCATGGGCCCTTGCGCCAGCCATAGGCTGTGCTGTGTTCCAGCCCGGTCTTTGCATATTGCTTCAGTGCCAAACACATTTACACCACTCTAGAGCAAAGCAGAGCCCAGCAGGACTTCTGACTAAGTTTATCAACGTCCTGCAGAGTTCAGTTGCCTCCTCCAATTTTACAGGTCTTTGTAAAAATGTATTCTATTCTTCCACTGTTTTGACTCGTCTCTTTTCTCTTTTTTTCTTTTTGAGACAGGGTCTCACTATGCAGTTCAGGCTGGCCTTGAGCTCACTTTGTAGCCTAGGCTGGCCTCGAACTCACAGTGATCCTCCTGCCTCAGCCTCCCAAGTGCTGAGATTACAGGTGTACACCACCACGCCAGGCCCTAAAGAACTTTTTTTCTTTTTGGTATGGGGAATTGAACTCGGGACATTGTGCTTGCCAGGCACGCACTTGTACCACTGAGCTATATCCCCGGCCCGACTCATCTCTTTTCTCATCTGAGCCCCCAGGCCCCAAAATATAGGATTCCCTTTAATTTTTTGGTACTGGGACTGGAACCCAGAGCCTTCACACTGAGCTACATCCCCCGCTCTTGTTTTTTTTTTTTGAGATAGGGTTTCACTAAGTCACTAAATTGCCCAGCCTGGTCTGAAACTTCCAGTCCTCCTCCCTCAGCCTCCTAAAGTCCTGGGATCACCAGTGTGTGCCACTCATCCAGCTATATATATAGATATGTTTTTGAAATCACTGCTAAGGTTTTTACATTTATTTTTTGCTGGGCATGGTGCCACGTGCCTGTAATCCTAGCACTAGGGAGGCTGAGGCAGGAAGATCACTGCCAGTTCAAGGCCAACCTGGATTACACAGTGAGGTCAAGGCCACCTTGAACTACACAGTGGGACCCTGTCTCCAAAAAATACGTAACTAAAATAAAATAAAATTTATTTTTTATTTTGTTTGCTTTTCTTTCTTTTTTCTTTTTTGTTTCATTTTGCTTTATCTCTACAAGCACTTGAGTCTTTGAGATGAGTCTGGAAGTAGGCGGCTTGACTGTCGGTAGTCATTTAGGGATACAAGTTCCTTCCATCTTGTTGCTTTGCTGTCTCCTGGGAAGCAAACTTCCTCCTATACATCTACATTCCAGCCTGAAGGATATAAATAACTAACTTCTTTTAAGAAATGATGTAAGGCATGGGGGTGCATGCTTGTAATCCCAGCACTCTGGGAGACTGAGGCAGGATGATCAGAAGTTGAAGCCCAGCCTGGGCAATTTAGCAGTTTAGTGAGATCTTGTCTCAAAAAAAACTTTTTTAGGCCGGGCTTAGTGACACACACCTGTAATCCCAGCACTCGGGAGGCTGAGGCAGGAGGATCCTTGAGAGTTCGAGACCAGCCTGGGCTATAAAGTGAGCTGAAGGCCAGCCTGAACTGCATAGCAAAATCCTGTCTCACACACACACACACACACACACACACACACACACACACACACACACACGAGGGTGAAGGACACAGAGAAGAAATGATGTAGAAGTGACGTTTGTATCAATTTTATTCACGTTTCAACGTTGAGTACTTAGTTACATGGCCACAGTCATCTAGCGTGGAGAAAGGTTGAGAAATATGATTTCCAGCTGGGCATCCATATACCCCGCTGCATCTTGGGGATGGGAATATTTTTTTTAATTTCTGGAAGAAAGCAGGAAATAACGGCTAAGATATAATTAGCAATCTTTTCCCACTCTGTAACCTTGAGGCAGGTGATGAAAGGTCCAATGCCTTCAGGGACCGGCAGGTGATTAACCGCGTACAGCACCAGGGAACAAGACCAACAGCAGTGAGGGGAGCACAGTGTGCTCTCTAAAAAGGACAACGGCTGGTTGTCCTTCCAATGTCCCTTTCCCTCTCCTCGTCCCTGGCACACCTCCAAGCTTGTTTGAGTGGTAATGTGACCAGGCCCCTGGCACAAATAATGATTTTTTTTAAAAAGCCAATCATGAAATTTCTATTTCTAGTGCTGTATCTCTAGCTACAGTTGTACTTAGGAATATTTACATGACTAAGCCAATGAGAATTGGGGAAGCTTAGTGGGGGACTTTTAGGAAACCTTCTGCTTTCTGAGTAAAGATTCAGCCACTACTGGAATTTTCTCAGACTTGTTCTTCCTTCTTTGAATGTGGATGAAATGTCTGGAACTGGAGCAGCCATTTTATGACTAGGTTTTTGTGGCTTGTTTTTTGAACTGGGGATTGAACCCAGGATCTTCACACTGAGCTACATCCTTAGCCCCTTTTTATTTATTTATTTTTACATTTTGAGATAGGGTCTTGCTAAGTTACTAAGTTGCCCAGGCTGGGCACAAACTTGCCATCCTCTTGCCTCAGCCTC